AACCTTTCCGGGGAGAAGGAGGCAGTGTGGCCCGGGGCAGATGGCCAGAGGGGATGCACACCTAGGCTGGGATTCTCCCAGAGCCAAGTGCATTCCTCTGTCTGGCAGCCTTGGGCCAGCTTCTTGTCTCTCACAAAGTCTGCTCCTTGTCCCCTGCACTTGAGCTCAACCCCTGGGGCTGTTCAGGGTGACCCAGATCCCCCAGGGGATAAAGTCAGTTTAATTTTCAAGACTCCTGTGCAATGGCCTGAAGAACCCCCTTCAGGAAGTGAAATGGCTCTTCTTCAGGGCTGGAGGCAGCAGAGGTGCCGGCTGGCCGACTCGGCAGGGGAGGTGTATCCGCTTCCCAGGGCTCTCTATGAGCCCGGTGCATGTTTCCTCCCAGCTGGTAGCCAGGGCCTGTTGCCTTCATCCTTGGACACTGAAACAGGACAGTGTTCCCATAGCTTTACCGACACACGCCCTGCCCTCACAGCCTGGAACACACTCTTGGCCTTGTCACACAAACCAGGCTGTTCCCTCGTGGTCTTTATACACTGACAGGCCCATCTCCTCACAGCCTCCTGAGCACGCACAGGCCCGTCCCCTCACAGCCTCCTGAGCACGCACAGGCCCGTCCCCTCACAGCCTCCTGGGCACGCACAGGCCCGTCCCCTCACAGCCTCCTGCGCACGCACAGGCCCGTCCCCTCACAGCCTCCTGCGCACACACAGGCCCGTCCCCTCACAGCCTCGTGTGCACGCACAGGCCCATTTCCTCACAGCCTTGTGTACACAGAGCCCTGTCCCCTCACAGCCTCATGTACCCTCACAGGCCCATCCCTTCACAGCCTCGTGTGCACACACAGGCCCGTCCCCTCACAGCCTTGTGTACAGACAGGCCTGTCCCCTCACAGATGTATATACCTGGGCTTCTCGCCTCAAACCTTTGATACAGAAATAGGCTTGTCTTCTCATAGCTCTGTACACACAGAGCCTGCCCTGAAAGCCTGGAACACACTCTTGGCCTTTTCACACAAACCAGCTGTCCCCCATGGCCTTGTACACATAGACAGGCCTGTCTCCACAGGACCTGGCCTCCAAGGGGCATCTGAGTCAGAAATGAGGCCTCATTAACTCAGTACAACTGTTTATGCTTCCATACGCTCAGGAATTGGCCTCAGGGGCTGAACCGCCCAAACCAAACAGGGCTGGCCTCCCCAAGGAGTCTCAGGACAGCGTGCTCTGCTCCAGGGGATGCTGGGAGGGCTGGAGCTGCCATCACAGTGCCCAGAGTAACCTCATCCACACTCCTTCCTGGGACCAGACAGGCTGGTTTTCCGCCTGCAGGGCTCTGAGGGCAGGAGGCTAGGAGGAAGGGCAGAGCTGCTGAGGGCGGAGGCAGGGAAGGGCGTCCCGGGGGCTGGGATGCTGTAGGTCAAACCTCACTTCCCTTTCAGGGTGGCCTTGGGCAAATGACTCAAGATTTCCTCACACTGAGAGGAGATGATACAATGCTTAAAACATAGTGCAGGGCGCTAAGGAAACGCTCCGAATGGACTGGGATGGCAGGTGAGGGCATGTGAACACACTGGCACTCAGAGCTGCAGCCATTAAAACAATGGGCTCACCAGGATGGAGCAGAGATTAGTAAGAATATTACACAGCTATTTTATCTACACTCTTCCTTGTTTTAGAACACAATATGAGGTAGATCCATAGCAGCGTTGCTCAACCTTTTTTCATTAGTGTCCCCCTAAGGAGCCTTTTTAGACATCCTATACCCCATATGCCCTCCTGCCTTTGAAATTAAATACTAAAAAACAAAATTTTGTTGAACAGAGCTGAACTTTGGAGGGCCACATATAACTGTAATAACTTAAGGTTTTTAAAGCCCCAAACAACAAGTTTTGGTCCTCTTGGGGCCCCCTTGTTGAGAATACCCAAGAGGTACCAGTACGACTTTAGTTGATAAAAACTACAGTGATGGGAACACAGTATATAAGAGGTAACATTCTTTACAAATAGGAAAATGTATTCTCTATGTGAACTGCAGCTACAACATGCAAATACATATTGGTGTGGGGGGAAAAGACAAAAATAACATTTAGAAAATTTAAAAACACAAGCTGAGGTTGTAGGATTTCTGAAGTCCCTCATTTTCATGTTCTATTGATTTTTTAAGTTAAAAATACAGAAAAGAAGAAGAGTAAAGAAAAGAAAAAAACAAATGGCTGACTATAAAAACAGTGGTTATATCAAGAGAAGCAGGAGGTCGTATCTTGAGTGGGCTGAAGAGTCCAAAGCTCAGAATCAGACACAGTTGGATTAAGCCGGAGGCTGGATGGACCCACAGATCTGTACTGAAATCTGCTGTGTGACTATGGGTAAGTCACTAGACCTCTCTGAGCCTTGGTTCCCTCATTTGCTGAAGGACAACAAACAGGGAAGCACCTAGCGATGCTTGGTTCACTGTAGGTACTCAGTAACTGCATCTCAATTAATGAACACTTGCTAGAACCTAGGCAGACCATAGGACAAGGAAGCCACAGAACCAGGATTTGAATCTAGGCCTTTAAGTTCATTTTGCTAGCCAGAAGGACCTCCAAACAACCTTATATTTCTTTGCCATTTTAAAAGAAAGGAAAGCAGGCCTCCTCCAATCTCATCAAAACTAGGTGGCCAGAGCCACAGGAATGAAATCAAGTTGTTGACACTGAGATACCACTGCCACCTGGTGGCAGCATACCTAAAACATGGGGGCCAGGGGCGGGTAGGGGCAATTACCAAAGGGGAACATCCTGTATCTTATGCGTGCCTAAGACACAATCAAATGCCTATATAGTGAGAACAAAAGTCATCGTATACCAACCACCACCTGGCAAAAGGGGCACGCACTGCCAGATGCCCGGTGGTTCCCTGACACTTTGACTTGGGTTTCCTGGATGTTCTTTCTTTTTTTAAAAATTTAACTGATTAAATTCAACAACCATAAACAAACCAAACACCACCAGAATTGAATGCAGACATCCAGGTCTTCATGAGACCTGCTAGGAGCCCAGGGATCCTGAATTCTGTACTTGCTACCTCAGTTGTCTGAACTCCACCTGGAATCCTTGATGCCCGAAAGTGTACGTTTCAAGCCTGTCACTTTCAGATCATCTTTCTAGCCAGTCAGTCTCCTGAACTGCAATTGTCTGTGCCCACCATCTTAGCCTTCCCTTGAGCTGTATAATATTCGTAAGTTTCACAAGCACTGCTTTTTAGGAGTCGATATAAATCACTGTTGGAAAAAGTGTTGACCAGGGCAAGACAGAGAACAGAGATCTGTGGACTACCACTAAGACGGCCTCTCTCTTAACATTGATCTTGGCCACCTTTCCACTGAGGTGTTTTCCCAACCTGTCAGGTAGGCTGTATATCTCTAAGTACTTTCTGTCCTGCCCTGAGCTAAGGAAAAGCAAGGTGATCCTTCGCGAGGGCTCACATGGGAAACACGCACTGAGAATAAAGAGGGGGAGACTGTGGCAGTAAAACAGCCTCCTCCTTCAGGGAGCGCTCCCCCCTACCCCATCCATCTTCCCTCCCTCTCACCTGCTCTGGCATTTAACTCTCAGGTGGCCCCTCGTAGGTCCTGATGCATGCCCTGCCTGTCTTGGGACATGCCTGGCCGCAGAGAGCCAGGCCTTAGGGACACTCTCCCTGTGGAAATAAGCCCTCGGCAGTACCTATTGACTCTGTGAGCTGGCATGTGCCTCCTTGCCTTTTTAGCTGCCACCTCGTACTGTCCACCTCCATTCAGACACCTACAGGTATGGGGAAAATGTAGGTTTGAACCCTGCCTCAGGCCCTTAATAACTGTGGAAGCGGGGCTCCAGTCTAGCGTCACCTTTCCCATACATGAAACGGCAGCAGTGACACTAATCAGCCTTATATGGTCGTGGCAAGGGTGAAATGGACATGATGGGCCTGGCCACACGTTCCCGCCACACGGCTGGTGCTCGGCAGACACCAGTCCTTCCCCTTAGCAGCCCCAGCTTGGAGGCTCAGGCTCAGCCTCTGAGACGGCCGTACAGGCACCAAGGCGAGAAGGCCTGCCTGCAGCTGTCGGGGAGACGGAGAGGAGTGGCCCTCTTTGGGACCAGGAATGTAATTTTCCGGGGTCGTATTTCCGTCCTCTGCTTGGCTGTGACAGCAGCCCCTCCAGAGGCACGAGAGGAATTCTGAGTGTTCCCTGGGTCGTCCCATGGCCTTAAACCCTGCGCAGGGCCAGCTGCTCATCCCCCGCAGCTCTCCAGCTTACAGGACAGCCTCTCCAGCCATCCCCACAGGCTCCATGGGACCACAGACCCATCACAGCTCCTTCTGAAGTAAAAGCTCAGAAGGCAGGAAAGACACGGAGGCACGGCATGGGGGGAAGCTGCCTGAGCCAGGGAGCAGGACACAGACTCCCCACCGGGCGGGGAGGACCTCCTCAGCAGATCTGGCCCCTGGGTTTTGTAAGTGACCAGTAGAGGACCAATTTCCCTCATATGCTGGGGGCTCTGGACCATCCCATGCAGAGCCAGAACTGGGAAATTAGCCCAAAGAACCAGAAGTTAAGATTATGAAAACTCAGTTGTGCTTTTGAATGTCTGGGAAATTCAGCTTTGGTGCTACCTTTAGAAGCTACTTTCAAGACAGCCTCTTGAGCCCCGAAAGCCCTGCCTCCCCCAACGTCTCAGGTGAGCCCCTGTTCTTCCAGCAAGCAGTCCCACATCCTTTTGAAAGCAGGAGCAGCACTATAAGGCTATGAGCAAAGTCAAGGGCCAATGGGACAAGAATGCTGCATCGGTATTGCAGGGAGAAGGTAACGACAAATGACAGGGGGTGATGGGGGAAAGGCTTTAGACAACGGAGCAGGCTCTGCCGCGGAGCCACCTGGAAGGCAAGAGACAAATCTCCGCCTTCCTGCCTCTGGGTAACAGAGCCACGCCCAAAATAGAGGGGCTGCCAGGAATGAGCAATTGAGTCAGGACTTACCTTCCACTGCAGAGAATGGAACCACTGGTCCCGCAGGTAGCTGTTGGCAGCCTGCAACGACAAGAACAGGAGAGCAAGGTCCAGTCACAGACTTGCAGCATTCAGAGCATTTTACACCACACCCGAGCCTCAGCCTGTCTGTCCAACAGGGTCTGCTCTGTGACCCTAACAACCTTTGCAGGGATACAAGCTGAACCCTTTGGGTACAAAACCAAAATAGATGTGATAACCAGGGTGACTTTTCTGAAGTAAGACCTAACTGCCATTGTGTGCTTATTTTGCTGGGTAGGAGTGACTTCAGACATGGTGGCTGGAAGAGCTTTAGTGCACATGTGTCTTATTTATTTAGGATCACGGGAGGGGCCCAGATGCAGGGAAGGAGGCACGGGTGGTGGGGTGATGATGGCGGGAGCTGTTTGGGTGGCTCCTGCGTACCAAGCCCTGCTCAGGCACCTGCCGGTTATTATCTGCATAGTCTGTCATCAGCTCTCGCAACAGCTCTGTGAGGACGGTGACACTATGTCCATTTCACAGAGGGAAAAACTGAGACCCTGAGATCTTACATCAATTAAGTACATTCAAACCCAAGCAGCCTTTCTTCCAAGCCTATGGGTTTAAGCACTGTACCTCCCGCCAACTGCAGAAAGTCAGGGTAGAAAGCAGCCAGCTTTGAACTTGCGCAGACCTGGGTTAAAAATCACTGTGCGGAGAGCAAAATCTTCCTTGATCTACACCACCCTAGTTCAGAGACCCAGGGCGGCTCTGCCTCAATTTACTCATCCATAAGATGGGGAATATAACACTGATCCTGCAGAAATGTCAGGAGGCTTGAGAATGATTTTTGTGAAGCATCTAGAAGCATGCTGGGCATATAGTAGGTAGTCAAACAGAAATGCAGCCATTGTTATTATTATTGTTACCATCAATTCCTCTGAAATAAAACGTGGCCTGAGAAAGGCCCTGCCGACTCCTGCTCTCACCCCTGTTCTCGCACATGTGCTGATGGGGAAGCAACACTGACGCCGGCAGGGCCGCGTGCGGCCCAGGATGGCTGTGAATGTGGCCCAACACAAAATCATCAATTTACTCAAAACATTTTTTTTGCTCCTCAGTTTTCGTTAGTGTTTGTGTATTGCATGTGTGGCCCAAGACAACTCTTCTTCATCCTCCAGTGTGGCCCAGAGGCGCCAAAAGGTTAAACGCCCCTGGATTTTATGGCATGGTTAACACAAGCCGGATCCAGCACTAAGTCCTACATATGGATTGGCTCGTTCAGTCCGTGCAAGTCTACCGTGAGAAACTGGTACTGGCCGCAGCTCATCCCTATAGTTACAGATGAGGAAGCTGAGGCTTGAAGGTTAAAAACTTTTCCATGGGCTCACAGGCAGCAGGCGTGGGGCCAGGACCGGAAGTCAGGCAGTTGGGCTCACGCTGTAAACCAGTGTGATGGCAGTCCCCTTTTCCACTGAGCGCTCTCAAAGGCAGAAACGCAACGTTGGGTCCCACCTGACCCCACAGCCCCGTACCAAGTGACCCTGACCCATTGAAGGACTCTCACAAAGGCCAGAGCCTCCCTCCAAACATGAAAATCTACCTTTTCCCCCCGACCCGTCCACGTCCATGCCCAAGCGTGTATAACGCTGGGTCTCCCTCAGTCAAGGAGAGCCAGGTCTCCCCACCTCCTCACCCTAACTGCCTGTCAGGGCAGCGGCTGGGGAAATCCCTGGGCTTGAATAAAGGAACCAGTGCAGTGGCAGGGCAGAGGGGGATCAGGCTCAGAGACTCATTCCAAACCCTGAGCAGATTCACGCCACACCTGGAGGCAAGGTGAGTTGCTCTGATGCATTTTCCCTGCACCTGTTTCTCTGGAGGAGCCAGCCAGCCCCCAGAGCCTCAGCTGCCCCCGGTTACGCCATGACCCTCCTGGCACCCCCCAGCTCCAATCTCACACTCCAAGTGAGTCTGGCCCTGCCCAGCAGATTTCCTCTCCTGCCCCCGCACCCGGCTGGATCTGCTGTGCCCTGCCTTTCACAGGGGCACTCACTGTCTAGAAGGGGCAGAGGGTCTCTTCAGTGAAATCATCTCACCCGCCCTTGTCACACAAACCCCGCCTCTCTCTCTCTCTCTCACACACACACACACACACACACGCCTAACCTTTCAGGCATACCCTGAGTTTTCCAAATCTTTCCTCTTGGGGGAGACTGCAAGCCCGCTGGCCCAGCCACACCCAGCTTCCAGACCAGTTCCACCCTCCCCGTGACTGTCCAGCATGGCGACCAGGACAGAAGGCAGGTTTGACTTCAACAGAGTGGTTTGTGGGTCCCAGCTGAAAACATCTGTGAGACCTGGTACTTCCCCATCTATGACAGAGGCACAGGAAGCCTGCTCTGTGGGGGACTGACCAAGATCCCGCAGGTCAGTAACAGCAGCCTGATGTTGCTGACTAGGTAGGCATCACACAAAATGCCTTACCCGCCTCACGATGGGGGGAAGGCATGTATACTGCCACCGCAGAGATGAGGAAACTGAGGCTCAGAGCAGGCCGTAGGGCCCTGCCCACGCAGGAGTCTGACCCAGCCCCTGACCACACATCACCCTCACTGCCTGCCCCTCCTTGTCTGGCATGTGCCCGCCTTTCTCTGCTTTTGAAACTCCTCGTCTTCCCCAATGCCTGGGCCAGGACCAGCCTTCCTCCGCCACCTCCCTGCAGTTCTTCCCGCCACTTGCCGCTCACAGAGCCCCTCTCCCAGCCCTGCAGTCTATCCGTGTGCGCACAGGATTGGAAAAGGAGACAGGATCCAGTATCATTCACTGTGCCCTCTCCAGCGAGGCCGGTGTTAAAAGTTCACTGAATGAAATAACTACACATAAAGCAAAGCCCAAAGACACTGGCTGAGGAACAGTCATTCCACCTGGCTCTCCTGCGCCTCCTACCCCGGGGAGCAAGGGCAGCCTCCTGGACAGCAGGGGGACAGCAAATGTCGCCCACCCCACCCACCGGGCTCATTATTTCCCAGGACAATTTGGGGAACAGGTGGCCATACTCTCCCCTTCTCCCCTCCAGGCTGGCTGCTCTTCCGAAGCCCCAGATGCGATCGTCTGTTATAGGGGATGAGGGCCTCTGAATCAGGCTCAAAGGGATTCAAGGAGCCCTCACGCAGGGGTTCTCGGTCTTCTGGGGATTTATGGGAACCTGAAACCCTGTGAAAACCTGCAACAAGCTATGGGCTCCCACCTAATGTACACATTCGTACACCACACACACACACACACACACACACACACACACGCAATTGTTCAGGCAATGCCGGATTATACCATGGACCACAGGTTAAGGACAAGACTCTAACCCAAGCTTTCGCCTCCTGCAAAGCTTCTGATGAGGAATCTAAGGCCTGGGCTTGCTGTGGTCTTATCAGTGTCCATCCCTGGTGTTTTCAGCTCCCTTCAAGCACGTGGTAGGTACTCACAGCCAGGTGACTTGCTTTGGCCAGAGAAACATGAGCTGACGTGACCCGTGTCACTTCCAGTGGGAGACTTGAAGAGCTAGTACAGTATTTAGTAGTTCCCTGGTAACCAGAAACATTGCAGATAGTATGTGCTCCACTAGCAAGCTCGCAGCCGACCCACCATGAGTAAAAAATAACCCTTTGCTGTTTAAAGCCACTTAGAATCTGGGGCTGCTTGTCACTGTAGCATAACCCAGCATAACCTGGCTTGTTTCCCCCCCCCACTCTGGCTTTCATACAGAGTATACATCCCACTCACTCTGCCTTCACCCCTCCCTTACTGTCTGCTCAATTATTTACCCTTCAGGTCTCACCTGAATTGCCAATTGTCCAGAATACCTGTCCTAATGGTGACTTGCCCCTCCCTATCCCCAACCCATCAGGTGGTGACACCTCATCTCACATATCACACTATCCTGTAATTGCTAGTTTCTTTGTTCTTTTTCCTCTCCAGGCTATGGGTTCTGTGAGGTCAAGGACCACGTCTGACTTATTCACCCCATGTCCACAAAACCCAGAGAAATCTTTTTAAATAAAAGACTGGCTGACCTGTTGAATAAATGAATGACTGGATAGGGGAATACATGGGTAGATGGATGGACAGGTGGATGGATGGGTGGATGTGTGAATGGATAGAAAATCACTATACACATTCTACTTATTGAAGAAGTGTCATGCAGAGTAGACTTTCAAAAGAACTATTCATCCTTGATATCCTCTCTTTCCCAAACTGTATTTGACTAAGGCTCTAGAAATAATCATGGCAGTTTTCTCCCAAATACCTACTATGTGCCAGATACAGGGTGAAGCATTATATACGTAATATTGCTCATCCTCACCATACCCAAGGTCCAGTATTATGGGGCCAGTTCACAGATAAATTAGAGGTCCAGAGAGGTCCTTCCTGCTGCCCAAGGTTACACGGGTAGAGCACGGTAGAGCTGGGCCAGGACGCAGGTCTGTCTGACCCCTCAGACCCCTCAGCCTGCTCTCTCTGTCCACCCCAACATGAGGGATAGCGATGCACCTGGGCTCCACTTGGCTCCAGGAGTCGGGCTGGGAAATCTCAAAGTATGATGCTGATGGCAGGGGAGGGGGAAGGACTCGGCACCTGCTCCCACTGCCAGGAGTCCATACCTCCCGAACAAGAGGGCGGGCCAGGACTTCCTCCAGAAGAGGGGAGGTGACTTGTGGTGCAGCCACTGCACTCTCATGGCCACTTCCCCTTTCGCTGATGGAGTCAGAGGCTGCAACAAGGGTGGGCCACGCACAGCTTCTTCCTTTGGCTTGTCCAGTTTCACAGAAGACAGAGGTTGCCGGGGGGACATCTGCAATCCCTGCGCGAGCATCTCTAAGTGCCTTCCAAGGATAGGGAGAGAGAGGACTGGGCTGCGCCCGGCCTGGTGGGGAGGGCGAGTTTCTGCACAGAGTCCCAACACTGCCCTGTGGACAGCTGAGTTGGGACAACCTGGTCCCCTGGGACACAGGGCACAACTCAGAGTCCTGAGGCTCACTCTGCGGAGACGCGGTTCGAGCATGGGAACGAGGCCCTAGAAGAGGTAGGTCTGCTCAGGTCCGCGCAGACTTTTCCCAGTGATAAATCTTTCGAATACTGAAAGGGCCTGGTTCCAGGCAAATTCTGCTTAATTTCCTCTTCAAAAGTTGCCAAGTTCTCTCATTGTTGTATTGTCTCAAGAGGTGAGAAAAACAGCCAAGGGTGCGCTGGGGGTGACTGTTTCCAAGTCCTCCTTCCCCACCTCAACTTCTTAGGGAAAAAACAGCACGTGATCTTCAGACCGGAAAGGTCTTTCTCTCCAGCTTCCAGTAAGAAGGGAACCCGCCCTGTCCCTGCCCCTGCTGCCAGCGTTTGGGGTAAACAGTTGCCCGGAACGTCCGTGGAAAGAGCAGGTTTTGGAAACCATTCCAGGAGGAAGCAGCAGCTCTCGGGGAAAAAGGTTCTCCTGGGTCTTGTCTCACCAGCAACCTTGTTTTAAGAGCAGTGGGCCCTGTCCACTTCTCATGTAGAAGCAGACACCCAACTGCGAGGCGGAAATCCCCAAAGATGATCTGCCGCCACACAGCTCTTCGATGCCAGCCACCCCACGCCACCCCACCCCACGGGCCACACCCCATGGATGCTTTCACAGCACCATTTATGTGTTTAGCAGTTCCCTCCTCACAGTGAAACACCAGCAGAAAGGGCATTAAGGGAGGAAAGAAGATAAATAGGTCCTTTCTGCACCGGGGGATTCTAATAACATGGCATTAGGGAGCTCATGCTGAAAATCACAAAGCATCAAGAAACACACCAATTGGACCCAGCCGGGAAGGCTGGCGCCTTTGTCTGGGGCCCCAACCTGCTGGCAGACTGCTTGGCATCTCCGAGCTGGGGAGAGGGCATGTTTGCCTAAGAACATCTCTTAACCTTCCTTGAACTCAGATAGGTCAGCTCCCTGAGGTCTGGTGAAGCACAGATTCAAATTCCAACAAAGCAGCTTTGTAAGGAGGTCCCTTGGGAGAGGGACAGTGAGAAGAGAGGGAGGAAAATTGAGAGAGGAGAGAGAGACAGAAAATTAAGATACCCAGAGAGAAGGGCTGGGGTAGAGAGATGTGCCTGAAGAAAGACACCAGAGAAAAAGAAACTCTAAGATCGTGAAACAGAGTAAGAGAGAGAGAAGGGGAGGGAAAAGGAGGGAAGACATGGAGGAAAAGTATCAGAGAGATAGAGGAAAACTAATAACTAATACTCACATGGATATGGAGTGCCAGAGAAAGGAGAGAGGGGAGACTAAAAGGTACCAGGTAGGACCCTGCAAACCCCTACCTCGCCCCTATGTAGAGAACAGCTGTGCTACGTATAGCAGGAGGGGACGCCGTTCAGGGATGCAGGGATGCTAAACATTACAGACCTGCCTGCATCCCGAGGCTTTTTCCCCTGGGAGCGGGCCCAAAGCATGGAGCATGGGTCAAAATGAAAAGTTCTAAAGTCCAGCCTGTCCAGCAAAACTTTGGGTGATGATGCCAATGTTCGTTATCTGCCCTGTCCAATACAGTAGCCACTAACTATATGCGGCTATTGAGCACTCGAAATGTACCTAGTGGATCAAGAAACTGCATTCTTAATTTGATAAATTAAATTTAAATGCAAACAATCCTGTTTGGCTAATGGCATCTGCAGGGACAATGCTGTCTGAGGCATTGTCATCCTCTGATGACCAGAAGCACCCAGATAAAACTCTACAAGTCAGCCTTGCCTCTGAGCACTCCTGGCTGCTTCACAAACCTCCTTTCCACCTGAGCAGGGAAGACTGCTGTGTCATCCCATGGCTTTGGGTCCTGTCATGTAAATGGAGATAACCCCAAAGCAAAGGATCCTGCTGACTGTCACCACGATATGTAAGGAGCACCCTGCCCTTCACCTGGGGCCACCACCCTGGAGCTCCAAGTGCCCCTGGCTACCCCATAACTACATGGACTGGATCCTCTCAGCCTGGAGCCTATGTTCAAGATGACTTGAAACCCATTTACATAACAAGAAGGCCACACAACCCCATGAATCATGGGAAGGAAGGCAGGAGGGTGACAATAAGGAAGCAAGGTAGGAGCCAATGGAAATGACAGCGAGAGAGACCAAGGCGGGCAAGGGCGAGGTGCACCCACCTGGGATACCCTGGATGATGGGTGGAGGCTGCGTCTGCTTCCCCTGCTCTAGCCGAGTCTAGCTCTGGATCCCATGAGCTGCCGGCTGCCTCCTCCTCTTCCCCCTCTCCCCACACTCCTGCTCCAGCCTCTGGCTACAGGGCTGTGCAGGCTGCACTGTCCACTGGAGCAGGGGGGCAGTGAGCTAGGGGGATGCTGGAGCAGCCGCAGGCCAACCCGTCTGTCAGCACAGCGGGGAGGGCTCTGCGTGAGGCCGCTGCCAGGTGCAGCCCCAGCCAGGCGAGTCATCACAGCCGGCCCACAGCCATGGCCTGGGTTAAAGGGACATTCCAGGCACTGCCCAGTGACCCACACCCCTCCAAGCCTCACTGCCCCTCTGTCCCAGGGCACTCTGGGTACTTACTTGGTGGGGGTACTTGCTGCCTCTCCAGCTCCAGAAGCGATAAGTCCCCCTGCTGCTCCCACTGGCAGCATCATGACCACTATGCCCAGGGTGCTGGGGGCTCAGGGCCTCTGTTCTCTAGCTGGACTATTTATTTATTTATTTATTTATTTAAAAGATTGTTTTTTTGTGTGTGTGTGTTTTTTTTTAGAGACAGGGAAGGGAGGGAGAAAGGGAGGGGGAGGAATATGGATGTGCGAGAGATACACAGATCAGTTGCCTCTCACACGCCCCCAGTGGGGGGCCAGGGCATGTGCCCTGACTGGGAATTGAACTGGTGACCTTTCGGTTGGCAGGCTGGTGCTGAATCCACTGAGCCACACCTCTTACTGGACTATTTAAAGGGCTCCTTCTGGCCTGCCTCCCTCTAGCACTCACATATCCAGCCCCCTCTGCCATGCAACTGGATTAACCCCTTTATTGTCTGCCTCACCCCTTAGGAGCTTTCAATAGCTCCCCATTGCCCTCAGCCTCTTCGTTCAGCTAACAAGATTTATAGGATCTGGTGGCAACCGAACAGCTCTAGACGCATCCGCAGGGACCTGAATGCCCCCCTTGCCTTTCCTGCAAGGGAGCAAACACCCTCTCCCCTAAACTCACACTTTGCTGCCAAGTTCCCTCTGCCCAGAGTGTGTGCCCCGCATCCTGGCACACTCCTCCTCATCCCTCAGCGCCCAGCTCTAATGCCCCCGTTCCCAGAGAGCTTGCTCTGGCACCCGCAGGCTGAGTGAGTGACTCCCTGCTCCAGGACTCCAGTCCTCTGGGACACGCCTCTATTTTAGCTGTAATCTCTGCAGTCATTTGTTTATGGCTCTGTCTCCCCAGAGGGCCCAGGGGGCTTATTCACCTTCCTCCCTTGGCTCAGTGTTCTGTGGTTCCAACGGGATGTTCTTGGCACCCATCTTTTCTCAGCTTTCCACAGAGCCTGCTATTGCCTCCCTCATCTTCCTCTGCTGCTCTTCCCCGTCCCAGTCCAAGAGAGCTGGAACTGGCCACTTCTTTCATAGACTCAACAGAGAGGCGGGCATGGTTTTGGTGTCTTCCAAGAAATAACAGTAAAGAAGAGAATTTTTCTAAAGGATGTTTAGCCACTAACTTGTCTTGTTGAGCTCAGCATTCCTCAGAGGCCTCACTGCGTGCCTTCTGGCTCCACTGTTTGTTACACAGCCCAGTGGCCACTTAGGAAATGGGCTTTAGGGAACATGTCTTTGGCCTCACAGCAGGTCTCCCGGGAGTGACAGAGTTAGAGAGAAAATGCCTGTCAAAGAAAGGCCAAGGCAGGCTGTTCTCCCAACGATGACAGAGTGCATTCTCTCTAAATGAGGGGCGCCTGACTTGGGGGTGGCTCCCCCTGAAATGATATAGAACACATCACATGTATGTACTACAGCAGCCATGTTATTTTTTCTGCCACAACTCCTTCTATGGTGGACTGAACTCTCACAGTCCCACGAGGTCCTGGGAGGGTTACCAGAGCCTACAGCTGCCTGTGGTCAAGGGTGGGCGTGTAATGCAGGCAGGGCATTCCCCAGGGTGCAGGGCTATAGCAGAACCCATCAGAGCCCTCCATGAGATTTTACAGACAGATACGGGAGGAAAACCAGGCTTTCACATTATTAAGGCTGACAAGCTCCAAGAGCATAACTTGAGGCTGCCAGAGTCCATCTTTCCCACCACATGGAGACGCAGCCTGGCAATGTCGCCAACACAATGAAGCAGAGTGAGGAGACAGACAGAGAGGCACTGAATGTTAATGATGGCACTGAACTCCTGGATTCAGCTATGCCTGAAGTTCTCTTAGACTTCCCAGTTACAGCATCAAATTCTCTTTATGCCTCGGATAGTCTGAATATTGTTTGCATCATTTTCATCAAACGGCTCTAACCAATACACACAAGGTATGCACATTTCCAAGAGCACAGCTCACACTTCCATCAGAGTCTCAAAAGATTTAGATCAACAAGAAGTAAGAAATATCCTCACTCGAGCAAAAGGTGATGCCTGCTGCTTACTAGTTTCTTACAACCCCTTAAAGGCCTAACAACTGTGCCCATGTGTCTCAGTTTCCTCATCTGTAAAATGGGCATCAGAAAATCCATTTTTCAGGTTTGTTTAGAGAAGTAAGAGTACAATATGTAAAGCTTCCAGGCTGTGGCAAGCATTCGGTAGGAGCTCAATTTGCATGCATTCCATCTTCCATTTGCCCAGGGAGCTTCGGTTTACACTTTTCTTCTACTTGGAGAAAAAAATACCCTAGGTTAAACAACCTTTCCCCCTGAAAGTTGGCTGTCTCCCTCCAAGAGAACAGAGGAGGGCGAATGAGTAGGGCTGGGAGAAGAAACTGCTGGTTCATGTTTATTTCTCCTACCTGCAGTAAAACAGTTCCCCCAGGAATTGTGAGCTGTAAACAGTACTTCGGGGCATTCTCCCAGGACAGCAGCTGAACGTCTTCAATAGCGCTGTAGGAGACTGAGTTTTCCATGTACCCAGTTGGCTGCAGCAAAAAAAAGAAAAGAAAAAGAAAAAGAAAAGATATGCATTGGTTACAAGATCAGACATAACATCTGTGCCTCAGAAGAAGGTTCTGGAAAACATCCCCACTGCGGCAACAAGCTAACTTAGCTGGTGCAGACAAGCTAACCTAGCTAGTGCAGACACCTGGCACCTCTAGGGACCAAAGGCACCTTGTCTTTCCTAGCTGGCAGGATCCAGCCACAGCCACAGAGGAAACTTGGCCGTGTGTTTTGTTTGGGGATGTAGTTGGGACTAGACGGGGGGGCACCCTGAAGGCAGGTGCACTTTCCTCTTAGCACTGGCACGGCCCAGCACAGGTGGAGTCATGACCCTCTCCTTCCCAGAAAGCAGTCACAGCCCACCACGGGTCTCCCTGCCTTGTCTTTCCCCATAGATATGCCTTCTCCACTCAGCACCCGAGGCCACGCACCACGTTGGCATATCAGTCCCCCTACTCTCCTGCTCAGCATCCTTCAATGACTCCCAGTGGTCTGACCACAAAATAGAAGCTCCCATCCGCCACTGCCAGGCCCCGCAGGCCTGGTCCCACTTCCTCCTTGGACCCACCCTGTGTCTTCTCTCCCTTCCCAAGCTCCCACACAGGCCTGCTGACCCTTTGTCCCAGAAAGGCCATGGCCCCACCCTGTCATCTCCTCTTCTACTCTCCAAGTCTCAGCTCAACAGATTTTTGGGCGGAGCCTGTGATTCCCCCAACGCCACAGCCCACCCAGTCACATCCTCGTTTGAGACCTCTGTGCTCACCACACCTGGGTTCATTACTGTGGACTTATATGGTTTGTTATCTGTTTGATCTCTGCCTTCTGGCCGGGCGGCAGCTCTGCCAGGCCAGGCCCGTGTCTGCCTGAGTCCCTGTTCTCTCTCTCCAGAGCCTGACGTGTGGCGAGCACACAACAATTTGTGTTTATAGGAAGAACGATAAAGGCCATCATCGGTCAGCGCTGATGTGAGGGTGGGACAAGAGAAATTCACAGTCACTGCCTTCTGAGTGATTTCTGCTATCACGAAGAGAAGGCACCAGGTGAATGAACTGGCCGCCACGTACCCGTAATGTCCCTGTTCCTCTGACCCCAGGGAGCCAGACTTCAGCAGACTTAGAGGTGAGTACAGCACCGCTGAAAATAATGGCCCGCATCGCCCAAGCCCTGACACGCCCCCAGCACTCCCGGGCACGTGGCAAGCGCTGCCTGCCTCCTATAATCCTCACCACAGGCCCACGCAGCAGATGCAGCACCACCTCCACTGCACAGATGAGAAAGCTGGGGTTGCGGCCGTCACACCACTCAGCCGGGAAGGGGCTGGCCAGCACTGAACTCAGCTGCTGACTCAGAATCAGCACCCTGGCCACTAAGCTGTGCTATAACAGAAGCGCAATTTAAAATCTATGGCTTAACAAGGTGATTTTACCGGGATGACTGAGGACCTCCATGAGGTTTTTAAATTTCAATTTCTACCTGCCAAAGTTGAGGCGTGGCGGTGGTGGAGAAAGTGGAGAAGGCTGAAGGCTTAAGCTGCCTCAGATTTCCCTTGATATGATCAGTCACCAGGCTCTGGAAGTTACAGTGATTGATCAAGTGATTTGTTCATTCATTCACCTGATGTCACTGAGCACCTGTGTTGTTCCAGGCCCCACACCAGGTGCTGTGGATACAGCAGTGAATAGACAGGAGCCCAACGGGGCAAAGAGAAAACAAACAAAATAATAGATAAGCTACTGGAGAACAGCAGTGCTGTACCATGAATCAAAATGGGGTGCAGTGAGAGTGGCTCAGAGCTGGAGCACTGTGGGAGGATGGAGGGGAAGTACCATATTTTGCCATGGATAATGTGTACTTTTTGCACCGATTTTTGAGGGAAAAATAAGGATGTGCATTATACATGGGTAGTACTTGAAATACCTTATAACCGTTTTTGTGTTTTGTTATGTTACATAAAATTTCTTGTACCTTAATATGTTCAAAAATAAATGCTAAAATTCCTTTATAGTACAAAAAACAAGTCTCCATAAATAAGTAAATAACAATTAAAAAATTAAAACGAAAGTTTTTTTCCTGGAAGTTTGGGCCAAAAACACAGGTGCGCATTATCCATGGCTAAATACGGTACATCCCAGAGCTCACAGCCAGTGTGAAGGGCCCAGGGGCAGGCACAAGTTGGGGGTGTTAGGGAGAGCGGGGTAAGAAGTGCCTCGGAGAGATGGAGAGGCCCCTCTAGGAGGGTCTGGCAAGCGGAGCTGGGGTCCAGGTAGTACTGCCCCTGCTGGGGTGGAGGAGCGCAGGGGCCTTGGGTTGGGCAAGTTTTCACGGCATTGCCGAGACCGCTGCAGGAAGGACAGACTCAGGGAGGGGGGGCGCGGAAGCAGGGAGGGACAGCCTGGAGGCTGCTGCACAGGTCCAGGTGAGCAACCCAGCTGCTCAGACCCCCATGGAGAGACAGCCACATCCATCCTGCTGCTCTCACCAGCACACGGCCCACCCAGGGCACCAATCCAGAGTCCATGTGTCCACGTACCCCAGAGCAAACACGGGGGCTCCCCTTCACTTTCTACCCTATTCCAGCATCCCCTCCAAGTTTATGTTTTCAATATTCTGCAATAAATGACTCAGCACTCACTGAACACCTTGTCCCAAGCCTATCAGTAAAACCAAGGGTTTGGGGGCTGGTTATATGCTCATTTCTAAACCTACATTCAAATATTTACTGTGTTTGGTGCTGTCTGTTTCCCCAGCTCATGTTGCAGCACCATGAGAGCAGGAGTTTTCACCTGTTCCTCGCAAGTACCCCAAACAGTGCCTGGCACTGAGGAGGTGATTATTTTCTTAATAAATGAAGCAGTATTTTCCTACATAAAAAAAAATGTTCATCCACATATTACTAATAATCATTACACATAACACACTTGGGAAGATGCTTCTTTGGTTATTATTTTTAAAAATTTTTTAAAAATTAATTTTTTTAAAAACAGCTTTACTAAGCAATGACACCTGGGTGCCCACACCCACCTCTCTCCCTTCTGAAGGTCCAGTCAGCCTCCAAACTCCAAACGTTGACATGCACAGAGGCCAGAGGACGTGGGATAGGACGTGGCTGCTAGTGCATCTGGAGAACCGTGGACCACACCAAACAATAGAGAGACGTAAAAACCCATTCTGAAAATCCCAACAAAGGCCCAGTGTGACCATACCGATGTGGACTTCATTACCAGACCAAGTGAATGGCTGGCCTCGTTTCTTCAGAATCCCACCTTGGGCACACAAAGAGAAGGCCTTGAGACTTCTGTTTCCCACCACGGCCTCCTCGGAGACCCTGAGGCGCGATGAGACACTGCCCAGGCCCACGCCAAGCCCCTGGCAGCACTGTCCAGAAGTCCACCGTGGAGACGTGCGATGGGAATGAGGGAGGGCCTGCCAACTGCCTGTGTCTGCCTTTCTCATGACCCTGCTTTTGCTGTCTCAACGTGGCCTTGATTAGAAGTTGCAACACAGGCAGACTCTAGGGGAAAGGTTGGGTATAAATAAATACATACTGGTTTTTAATAGCAGATGGGTTCCCACTATTTGAAGCAGTGTTGGCTACAAGCAGAATCTGCATAATCAACAGGACCTATGTTTGAGCCATTTACTGTGTGTCTTTACACAAGTTACTGTACCTCTCTGAGCCTGTTTCCTCTAATGGTACAATGAGAATTTAATGGAGAGAATGATTAGGAGCCTTAAAGGAGATCCAATTTGTCAAGGGCTTAGCATAGCATCTGGAACATACAGAAAAGCTCTACAGAGTCAATTATTATGAAAAAGACTGAACTTTATCTCTGGGGACTTCCTCCTCCAAACACATAATTCTGGTTAACCATTAGAAAAACATCAGAAAAAACCCAGTTGAGGGACATGCCTCAAAACACCTGACCAGTACTCATCAAAAATAAGGAAAGGCTGAGCAACTGTCCCAGCCAAGAGAAGTCTACAGAGATACCATAACCAAGTTGTACTGTGATATCCCAGATGGGACCTTGGGACAGAAAAAGGACATTAGGTAAAACCTAAGGAAATCAAAGTATGAAGGTAAATAACAGCACATCAATATCGGTCCATTAGTTGTGACAAATGTATCACGCTGATGTAAGATGTTAAGAATAGGGAAAATAGGGTATGGGGTATATGGGAACTCTCCGTACCATCTTTGTAACTTTTCTGTACATCTCTAAATGTTCTAAAATAAAATGTTTAGTAAGAAAAATTAACTGCTGCCACTACCACTATGGTTACTATTTTCATCATCGTTGGCAGAGCCCTTGAGGTTTACAAGGGAAGGGGAGAGCTCGGTATCAAAAGCCCCCACACGGTGCTCTTTGGGGAAGGCATGAGCTGCTGCTACCGCCCGAGTGCGCCCTTTGTCGGAGGTACTTTCACACCCTTGGGCATATTTTACAGATAACTGATAATTCCCTGGTAATTTGAACACGAAGATCAGTACTACAGTGGAGGAGATTCCTGCATGGGGTGAAGGCTGAGTTAGAAAAAAGAAAAATTAAATTCTCTGGGGGAAGCTAGGAAATCCAGCTCTAAGAAGTACTTTTAAGAGAATAATAAGCAGATGAAGTTATTTCTACACATAAAAGCAGTGCAAAACGTACTGTAATTCCGTTTAAATGACATCCCAGAATTAGCAAAACTACGGGGACAAGGGGTGGAGATCAGTTACAGAGGGGGATGGACGGGAAATGCTTTGGGATGATGGAAATGTTCTGTATCTTGCTTGCGGTGGTAGTTACTTGAGTGCATATGTTTGTCAAAACTCACAGGTCTGCACACTAAAACAGTTATTTTCACTAAATGCAAACTACAACTCAAACCAGACTAAGAAAGGCAAATGCATGAATATTCCAGAGAATTTGGGAGATGATGAATAGACTAAAATCTTTCAGATAAAATCTTACCAGAATTACTCATTAGTACTTTGGTA